AAACGATAACCCACAGAACAACACATATTTGCAAATCACATATACACAAGATATATAAAGAACTCTTACATCAATAAAAACACAAATAATACATTTTAAAAATTCACAAAGGATTTGAACAGACATTTCTCCAAAGAAGATATACCAGTAGTAAATAAAATACATGAAAAGAAACTCAGCATCATTATTAGAAAAATGTAAAGCCAATCATAATGAGATACCACTTCAAATTCACTTGGATGGCTAAAATAAAAAAGATAATTTAACAAGTATTGGTGAGGATATGGAGAAATTGGAACATTCATACATTGCTGGTGGGAGTGTAAAATGGTTCAGTGACTTTGGAAAACTGTTTGACCATTGCTCAAAATGCTAAATATAGAGTCATCACATAACCTAGCATTTCACTCCTAGGTATATACCCAGAAATGAAATATGTCCACACACAAAAAAAACTTATACATTAATGTTCACAGTAGCATTATTCAAAATAGCTAAAAATTGCTACATGTTTGTAGCAACCTACAAACAACTGATGAATGAACAAACAGAACATGGTGTAGTCACATACCAGAATTATTATGTAGCAATGAAAAAGAATGAGGTACAGATACATGCCATAATATGGGTGCATCTTGAAAAATTATGTTAAAGAAAGAAGTTAGACACAAAAGACCACATATTATATGGTGAAATGTCAAGAACTGGCAAATTCATAAAGAAAAGGTAAATTAGTGGCTACCGGGAGTTGAGGCAGGGAGTTTAGGGAAGTGTGATAAGCAGAAACAGCGAATGGTTGTTAATGTAGATAAAGTTTCTTTTGGGAGGTGTTAAAAATATTCTAACATCAAGTTGTGAGGTTTGTACAACTGTGAATATACTAAAAATCATTGAACTGTACACTTTAAGTGGGTGAGTTTTATAGTATGTGAAATATATCTCAATAAAGCTGTAAAAAATACATAAAGACATTTTCAGATATGCAAGTCTTCAAAAATTAACCTCCCACTTATCTTTCACAAGAAGCTACTTGCAGATGTATTCTGCCAAAAAGAGTAAACAAACTAAGAAAGAGGAAAATATGGAATTCAGAAAGCAAGAAATTTAACACGAGAGGCAAAAAAAGTTCTCATATTAATGATGAAGGGATCCTCATGATGACAGTTGTGCAGCAACCTTAGACAACTACAAGTTAGATATAACAGAAAGAAAAAGGGTATAGGAGAGAAATCTTTGAGGGGAAAAAAGAAAAGAAAGAGACTATTAATAAGCTTGTAGATATTAAAATAATTTTTATTGTTCAGTCAGATAATTTGAAAAGAATCTGTGATAAGTACATGGAAAACTGAGTAAGCAAGCAAACAGTGATTATTAATGGCAGCAAAATATAAAGTTGTCCAGAAAGTAAAACAGTTTTATTGTATTGCCCAGATAAGCAGTAAATTACATTTCCATAACCGTAACATGTATGGATGTGAGAGCTGGACCATAAAGAAAGTTGAGCACCAAAGAACTGATGCTTTTGAACTGTGGTGTTGGAGAAGACTCTTGAGAGTCCCTTGGAGTGCAAGATCCAACCAGTTCATCCTAAAGGAAATCAGTCCTGAATATTCATTGGAAGGACTGATGCTGAAGCTGAAGCTCCAATAGTTTGGCCACCTGATGCAAAGAACTGACTCACTGGAAAAGACCCTTGTGCTGGGAAAGATTGAAGGTGGGAGGAGAAGGGGATGACAGAGGATGAGATGGTTGGATGGCATCACCGGCTCGATGGACATGAGTTTGAGTAAACTCCAGGAGTTGAGGATGGACAGGGAGGCCTGGCGTGCTGCAATTCATGGGGTCGCAAAGAGTCGGACACGACTGAGCAACTGAACTGAACTGAGCCATGACATCAGCAACACTGAACACTGCTCTCACCCACAAGGAGACAGCACTCTAGTGGGAGGATGGGAGGACGTAATGGTGTGAGTGGCCAGAGTGCAGGAGAGGTTGATATAGGAGCCAAAACGAAAACTGAAATCCCGAGTCATAGTAGTATAATCCTGCTACTTAGAAGGAAGGGGCTGATGGGAAGCAGAAGAAACAGGGAGAATTGAAAGCAGTTTTTCCTAGGAAGCAGGAACGCAAAACAGTAGAGGGAAAGGGTTGCGGTTTTTTCATTGTAGGATTAGTGGTACTATTTTTTAAAAAGCAAACTGTACCAATACATCACTTTGACTTAAAAAGAGAAAAAAGAATAAGTGGTTTTTAAAATAAGGAAGATAGGGGTACTGGGGTTTCCTCAAAGCATCCACCTTTTGCAGAGGACCTGCTGGGCTGCAGCATTCCACCCTGCTCCTCCTTTTCTGAACGGCTGCAGCCCACATCAGCTTCCCGCGCAGGGACTGACAGTCCCTGCCCCGCTGCTCCTGTTTACTTTTGCGCAGCATGCTCCTGCTTCTCCAGCCCTCCCACGGTCAGCCAGGGCTGTTCTCCGTCTCTCTCGCCTTTCTCTTCTGCTTTAGAGTCCTGGATGTGAGCTTCGGCCAGCTTCACGCTAAATGTGTCGGCCTCAGCAATGAGCCCACGCCAGTCTAACCCTCCTGGCTGCCCCACCAGCCATGTAAGTGCTCCGCTGGCACAGCAGCAGCTCTGAGCCCGGCCTCTCCCCGGGACGAGAGTGGGCAGCACAGGTCACAGTTGTCCGGGACTGGGCTGGCAAGATGGGCACAAGGTCCCCTCCTGCAATCTGGATCAAGCCACAGACCACACGGTCACTTCACTTATTCGTTCTGAGTCCACTAAACTCATTGATTTCTCTCGAGGTATGATGCCAACTTTCCACCACATTCATGGATTTATGTAATTGATTTTTTAGACTACAGGGAGCATATTTAACTATATAACATTTTATCTTTTTAAAAAAATCTTGTTTCAACTCATTTGTGGGGTAGGAGGCAAGGATAAACACTGTATAAATGACATACGATATAGACTCAAAGGAGAGTTTCTCAGGCATATGGCTGGCTGAATGGACACAGTCCCTTGAGACCCTGGCCATCCCAAAGAGAGGCATGCTAGGCTGACCATGTCTTGGAGGGCCGTGTGTGTGTGTGCATGCACGCATGCATGCATGCACATGTGTGATCCAAGAGGGGGAACCTGGTGCCCCATTGACTTGCACAGCAATGATGAAGGTGGGAGGGGTTAGAGCCGGAGCTTCGCAACATGGGCTACAACGTTGTTGGCATAAGGAATAGCCTATCCCCAACAACATGTGTGAGAAGGTCAGCATTGGTTCCCACCTGAGTTCTTGAAGCCCTACTGCAGAGCCTGCATTTCTACTAGGCTGCCCAAGGGTGAGTCTCCAGAGTCATCCAGCAGTTAATTTGGTTTATCTCTCCTCATCTGGTCTTCATGTATCTGAGCCTGCTGACTTTTGTATTATCTTTTCCTCCAAACTTTGTGCTGTTTAATCTTTATCCAAGCCACTGATTAAAAATTTGAAGAAGTCAAAAACAGTGAGAAAGCCCTGTTGTTTATTTCTATGACAATAATAATCAACACTTTTTGGCTATTAAACCAAAAAGATCTCTATCTAATATACTATCATCCAACTTATTCCTCTAGTTTGTCCACAAAGAATAGTTAGAGGAGCCTTTGTCCAGCTTGCTAAGAAACCCCACGTTCATCTGTCCCTGTCCACAGCCAGGACATGGACAGTAAGGACTGGCCTCAGAAACAGGAGGTGTGGAAGGGGTACAGAAAGCCTTATCTGGCTGTATGGAGATGCAACTTGCCCCAGTGATTGCAGCAAGGAAGAGAAGAAAGCATAGCTGTGAGGAAACCCCAGATCATGAGCCTATTAAAGTAAGTGTAGTAATCTTTATTTAGTAATCTTACAGTAATCTTACTATAGTAAGTGTATCAAATCTTTCCCTCTGGGATTAGGGGAAAAAAAAAAAAAAAAACGCAGACAGCCTGAAAGACGTGGCACCTAAAACTAGAGATCATTGAAAGTAGCAAGGGGACAGAGAGCTGGAAGAGAAGGGCCCCTTACCCCTCCTTTGTCTCCACCGACCCCCTCGCCCGGCACCGGTGTCCTCAATGTCGGAAGGTGGTCACGTGACTCGCATCATGTGTTAGTTACTCTCAGGATTACTAATTATGTCCAGTCCCACAGCGGAGCACAATACCTAACCCGTACAAGTAAATTCCTTTTTCCGATCTCAGCAGGAAAAGGATTGGGTGGGGGGCCTTTCAAACCAGACCACCAGGTGACACACACTCACTTTCCGTTTGTTCTCCGTATACGCAGGCACTGTGCTGATTGCTATGAGAGAGCTGCTGGCATGCCTCACATCTGCTAGACTGCCAGCAGCTTGGTTAATGTAGATACTGTGCTGCTCATCTCTGCATTCCCAGGGCCTGCATGCACCTGGCATACTCCACCCATCTGCACAATGAAGGCTGCCCTGGGGGTCCTGCTAAGGGCCAAGGTGGCATCATTCCACTTGCTCCTCCCTTCTTCTACCCCCAACCAGTCAGTAAGCTCTGTGTTCGGTGTAGGGTAGCTGCCCAACAGGTATTTGGTGAATAAATGAAAGCAAAATATTTGCCTGCCTACAAGGGAGGTCTCAGGACAACACTCAGAGGGGACTCTGCCTGCGCTGCTCTTACCTGTCCTCACCCGACCAAGGCCAGTGGAAGAGCCCGGTCCAAGCACACTGCTGTGGACTTCCCCTCGGGATGATGCGTCAACGTGGGTCAGAAAGTTCCCTGCAGTCCAGGGAATGGAGAACTGCTTTCACGAGGCCCATGGGCAGCTTGCTGGCTGAAGGAGTCCTGCCTTCATCACACTCAGGAGCAGTTCTGACATTTGGCACATGCTGATGAAGCCCCTACTGGGAACCAAACCCTGGGGACAGAGCGGAACACACAGGCAGTTTCTGCCTTCATGAAGCTCACATCCGCTCTCAGGGAGGCTGACGGCGCAGAGAAACGCGGGAGGTGTCCCGATGGTGGGGGTGTCAAGACCACAAAGCAGGGCAAAGGGAGAGTGCCGGGCCCGGGTGCTGCTCTGCTTAGAGGCCAAGGAGGGCCGGGAGGAAGGTAATATTCGACCTGCGGCCTGAATTCAGTGGTCCATCCAAGTCCAAGTCCATGTCTTCCCCCTGCACCTCTCCACTTTCTGCAGCAGGCCAGGCCCTCCCACCTGCGGGCCTTTGCTCCACCTGTTTCCAGGACTGTGATTCTCCTTCACCTCTTCAAGTCTTTGCTTCAGTGTCAGCTTCCCGGTGAGCCCTGGCTTGACTACCCAGTTTGAAATGTCAGTACCTCTCTTCTCCCCAGCCCCTTAAACTGGGCTCTGTGTTCCCATAACACTTAGCACCTTCTAACGTAGGTTTTCTCCCCTCCCGAGCATGGAAGCCTGACCGGTGTGGGGATTCTCGCTTCCGCTCACTCATCCAACCCAAGTGCCTAGAGAAATGCACAGAGCAAGTGCCCATAAGGGCTTCAACACCCACTGTTCATTTGACGTGCCTGCCCTGCACCAGGCGCTGCCCTGGGGTGGCAAGAAGCCCCTTTGTGTTGGGAGAGGGGGTGAAATGCCAAACCTACCCCACTGTGAGCTGTTCTGGGGAAGGTGGTGTGCTTGGCTTGGGAGTCCCTGGGCTCCCCTTCCAGGCCCCCTCACCTCCAAAGAGCACAGGGCCAGGACCTTTCCCAGATCAGGAAGCTGGAGGGGCCCGCAGGGAGTGGGTGTGGGCAGAGCCCCGGGGCAGAGCTGAGGTGGGCTGGGGGCTGGGGTGTGCCCGTCTGCCAGGGTGGGTCAGGGTTGAGGCAGAGGCACAGGGCCTCCCGGAGAAGCCGAGGGAGGGGGACCCCTGTCCTCATGGACTCCTGCAGGGACTCGGTAACGAGCCTCTAGACACCATCCCATTTCCACTGTGCAAGGCTTCTGGCGCTCTCAGCGGGGTATCTGGGAGAAGTAAGTGCCTGAATGCCTGATGACAGACATGGGAGCAGAGCACACTAGTGTGTATATGTGTGTGTGTGGATGAGTGAGTGATGGTGGGGAAGATGCCTTGTCTTTTCAGAATTATTTGTGACAGAATTTCAGATTTCCATCTTCAGAGCTGATATCTGCTGTGAACTCAGCCACCCTTCCTCACCCCACCCCTGCCACCACTGTTCCTGAGCTTCTGGCCAGGGCAATGAGCCCTCTGCCTTCCCAAGCAGGGACGTTCAGATGCCTTTTCCTCGAACGTAGCACTTATGCCCACTGTGCCAGGATGCCCTCGCCGCTGTGACCACTCCAGGCTGACACGTTCCCCAGCCTCTCAGTCACTTAATGGCCAACAAGTGTTCCCTGGGGCTGCTCAGAGTTCAGTCCAGAGCAGTGAATTTCTCTCTTGCTTCCTCTACTTCTGAGCTATGAAATTATCTGTTGAGCAAATCAATAATTCATCAGATTATCCACATTTAGTCTAAATTAGATCTCATCGCCTCCAGCTAGACTTTGAAGTCCCGCTTCACCTGACTCCCTACCCAGCCAGCCACCCCACAGAGTCCAGCCAGCTTTCCCGTGCTGGATCCCTTCTCCCCACCACGTGGTCCCCACACCACAGTCCCCTGCTGCCCGAGAATAGCAGTCTGGTACCCTGGCCAGAAGCCCATCTTCCTTCTCATTGTAATCCAGCTTGCTCGTCAAGGTCTCCTTTTAAATCTAGCCTTCACCGTGAGCTTCCCAGGGTTTCTGCTGCAGACCGAAGTATTTTACGATCAGAAGCACACAACTTTGCATTGACTTGCACTCCATTTGTTTCACAGTTGCAAACTTAACACAAGGGCTGGACTTTAACAGACCACTGACATCCCTGCATCACACCCAGTGCAGAACACACAATGGATGCTGTTGACTAGCACCTCTTTGCTTCCACCCTCCTCTCCAGTGCTCTCCCTCTCTCTTCATTGAAACTACCCTTAGCCCTGAGACCCTCAGCCCCATTTTCCCTTCAATCCTCGGGGACTAGGCAGCCCCAGCCATGTGGTCAGACTTTGGATTGTACAGAATCAAGCTGGCTGCAAGCCTACTGAAGAGATCAGATATGGAGCTAGAACGGATTACAGGCCAGTTGGTAGGGCAACGGCAGCAGGTCAGAGGAGAGATGGTGGGAGTTGGTTTAAGGAGCCCCTGTCACCTGGTAGAGACAAGTGGACGGATTCCAGAGGGCATCTGAGGCACTTCTGTATCCACGCATCCTTTCAGATGCATGTCCCCTGACAAGCTGTGACAGAGGCTGCCTAGTACACGTAACTCAGTCCTTGGTCTAGGTGAGGAGGGATGGAGGGGGTTGTCCAGGTTCAGACAGCCGGTCAGGATGGGCTTGGGACTCACAGCCAGACCCTCAGACGTCCAGTGCTCTTTCTGGTCTCATGTCCTGGAACTCACACTGGAGCTGCCATGGGAGGACCCGGTGTTAAGCTCAAGAACCCTGACTTGGCTGCCTGCCTGTGGCTATTTACGCAGTTCCCACTGATTTGTGTTAACTGGTAATTATTTTTGCTGAAGTTTTTCAAGCTCCATTTGCTTTTACTCTCCTGCAGACAAGCTACAGGAAAGAGCAGCTTGAGAGACCAGTGGGCGGGGAGAGCCTGTCTGGCCCTGGGATAGAAGGGCCTGGCTCCCCTGGCTCCCCTGCCCTCCTCAGGCTCTCTCTCCCCACAGAGGGGGGTGGCCTTCTGACCCAGCTCGCCTCTCAGTGTCTCTCAGGCTGTCTCTGCCAGGGGGCAAGAATCTCGCCAGCGTTCCTAACTCATGTTCTGCCATGCAACCATTTCCTGGTGGCACATCTCTCAAGGTACAGGCTGTTGGGGGAAGAGAGAAGGAATGAACACTGCAAGGGTGGATGGTTCATTTTCTGCATGAAGCATGACTCTGAGATGCTGTCTAGCTAGCTGGCGGGTCATTGCACTCTACTTGGGGTAACCCTGTCCCCCTTCTAAGCTTGTCTGAGTGTTCAGGGTGCTTGCTCAATTTGGAGACCAGGGTCTAGTCCCTCCGTGCCAACTTGGCCGTCGTGCCCCAGACTGTGTGTCCTGGGTTGCTGGTGGGTGTAGAGGGCCGGCTGCCTCCACTCACTGCACCTGCTCCTGCCTCACGCCTCCTCATTCTCCCCTGGGGTTCAAACCACTCCCCCAGCTCCACTTCAAGCAACAGCTGCCCTCTCCTCCCACGAAGCCAACTCTTTCCAGCCATGCCTTTGATAAGGTGGGTTTTCTTTTGTTTTATCTTTTAGAGTGGAGACACAGGAAGCTGTCAGCTCCACCCAAAGTGATCAAAAGAGCCTAAATCTTAGTATTCAAAACATGGATGATCTTCCTAGAGTAGAATTTAGGTGAAGCTGGAAATTGCTCTCACTCTTTTGTGACATGCCTTTAGACAGGAAAATAAACACAATAATTTCTCAATCTGGCTATCTTACCACACTAATTACCAGGTAATTCATATGCACAATTTATGGTCCTCACTAAAGGAGATCAGTCCTGGGTGTTCATTGGAAGGACTGATGCTGAAGCTGAAACTCCAATACTTTGGCCACCTCATGTGAAGAGTTGACTCATTGGAAAAGACCCTGATACTGGGAGGAGTTGGGGGCAGGAGGAGAAGGGGGTGACAGAGGATGAGATGGCTGGATGGCACCACCAACTCGATGGACATGAGTTTGGGTAAACTCCGGGAGTTGGTGATGGACAGGGAGGCTTGGCGTGCTGCGATTCATGGGGTCTCAAAGAGTCAGACACAACTGAGCAACTGAACTAAACTGATTATTATCTCAAGGTAGTTATTATTAACTACATTTTACGTGTGAAGAGATTTGGAGAGATTAATTTTTTTTTTTTTTGCTGTACAAGAACACTCACCTGTTAAGTGATGTAGTGGGGATTCAAACCCCAGGCTGGCCAAAGGCTGTTTCCACTACCCCAGCCAGGGCTGGGTGGAGCTGCGTTCTCTTCACTAAAGGCATTTGCATTATCAAAGCCCTGGGAAAGCCAAAGAAAGAAATGCCGAAGTAAAGTCTTCAGGAGTAAGTGTAGTGGGAGCTATTTTCTGGAGACTGTTTCCAGAGCCTCTCCAATGTATACCAGACCAAACATAAATAGATACATGAGTAAATGAGCATTTTATAAGATGCTAAAATGTTTAGAATCTAAATGTACTGATGTCTGCCGCTTACACTGAAATGTGTCAAGCATAAGAATGGACTGATGGACAGATAGATGGACAGATGTGTGATAAAACAAATACACCAAAATGCTAGTTATCCAATCTAAGTGGTGGGAGTTCACTATGCAATTCTTTAAATTCTTATGGGTGCTTAAATTTTTATAATAATATATTTGAGGGAGAATAAATCATGCAGGTGAGTTACACCCACCTCTTGTCACACATCACCTTGTCTTGAGGGAGCTTGGTCATTAGTCGCCGAGCTCTTCCTACAAGAAGAGTCCTAAACTATACACTTGAGAATACAGAATAATGAACGGGTAGGTAGTCCCTGCTTTGTGAAAATTTAAGATACCTGGGAGAAAATAGGACAGTCATAAAATCAGCAGTTGTAACAATAGTAGCTCTTTATTTTCTGCAAGATTACAAGTTGCTTGTAACTCTTACATTGTCCTAAAGCGCCTTCTGATTGACTTTGATGCATAGGACAGCTCACTACAGTTAAATGGGCAGTAAGGGAAGATGATTCATGTTCTCCAGGGGATTACAGAGAGTCCCACAGAGGAAAATTCACCTGCAGGTCCTCAAGATGTATTCCAGAACAAGAGTGGCTTCTTTGGGTGGCAGATTGGTTTAGTGGAAAGTTCAGCCAGTCCCAGCTCTGACCATTTATATCAACTTGAATGAGTCATGTTCTTTTTTTTTTTTCCTTCCTCTTATTTTTTTTCCCATTTATTTTTATTAGTTGGAGGCTAATTACTTTACAATATTGTAGTGGTTTTTGCCATACATTGACATGAATCAGCCATGGATTTATATGTATTCCCCATCCCGATCCCCTCTCCCACCTCCCTCTCCACCCGATCTCTCTGGGTCTTCC